GGCTATCTCAACTCAAATCTAATGTTAAGGTGGGAAAGACCAGAATTATGTGAAGCAGCGGGCAGCGGCCGCGCCTGGTTGAATGGCGGTGCCGCCGTGCCGAGCCCAAGAAAAACGACGGTCCAGTCCGCCGACAGTGTTTTTGCACTGCACAGCAAAATCACAGAACACAGGCATAGGTATGCATCAAAATAACAGGTTGGGACAACGCCGAAAAATTTTCCCACAATTTCGGTTTTACCCCAGTGACCCATATTGGCACCCCGAACAAAAATAAAAATACACATGTGCTAAAATAAGCAATAACACAGCATGTCCCGTTTATATGGATAGTTGACTCCGTAGACAGCAATAATTGAGTTTTAATTTCATACAACTTGGTGAGTTGTAGTAATTTTAATATCGGGATAAGCATTAATCGACGTACAGCCCACCGCTAAAGTAATGTAGGGTTTTACCAATCACAACGGTTGGCTTTGACTGGCGATTATTTAATGCGGAGTGATCGAAAAGAAGATGTCAATGGCTAAAGTTGCAGCTGCAAGGGTGACGATACATAGGTATTAGCTACATTCAAAGTTGCATTGTAGTCTGGCTAATCGTTCCTAAGCTTCAGAAGCAGAACATAGGTACCCATGACTGAAACCCCACATTACTTCTGCTGTGGACTGTACCTCGAAAAACTTCCGTCGTCGCCGCCACCTCGCTAACAACTGTTCGCGCGTGGCGTTTATACTGGTGAATCACTTGAACTGACATCTTGAACTGAGACTTCACTAAAATGCCACCAGAGGACTGCACCTCCCAGTCGCTTGGCCACAATCGAGAATTTCGGCTTTCCCCGTAGTTCGGCATTGCCCCACTTTCCCCTACCTACATAAGATGTGCTTAATTTTTTTAAGTAGGAAAAGTTAAGCAAGCAAAAAAGTACCTATATCGTTCGACGCGCCTTGACGTGCTGAATTCACTGCTGTTTTTGTTTTCGCTCTATCTTAATTAGATCGAAAGTTAAAAACGAAAAATTTTGACCTGTTCTAGCGAAATTTTTACATTTATACCTACCACCCAAAACCTCCCTAAATATTGACCGAATATTTAGCGAGAATTCTAGGGGGCCCACCTACCTACCAAATTTGGTGTTTCTAGGTGTCAAAGGAGCCAACCGCGAGGGGGGTCGTATCAACCCCCCCCCCCCCCCTGCCAGGCCGTGCTAAGAAAAATGCCCTGCCAGGGCGAGGGCTAATGTAGGTGGATGGACATTGCAGGGAAACATTAAGTATCGAGAGCGAATTTTGTAGCGCCCGCCGTCACGCCGGGGCCGAATCAGCGGAGACGGGAAGCAGGATCCAGCTGGCGGCTGGATTGGACAATAAATAGCTTTTAACGACGAAATCAATAAACTTAACCCGCGCCGGGCCGCGGGGGGTGTTTCAAACACCCCCTGCGGCTTTTCGCAGATATCTAAAAAAAATGGCGGCGCGCCGCACACCTGTTCGTGCATCTTTTCCGCACATATTGTGCAAATTTCAGACCCAGGGTGCCTAAGGTCATCTCACCAAGTCACGCCAAAAGACCTCACCCCAGAATAAATAAGAATGCTCGTCATAGCTACACCGACTGAACGATTGCCTTGAAGCTTTCAGCGATTGATAAAAGTAACAGTATCTATAAAATGCATATCTTGGAATTTTGATATCGGTGACCTAAGGTCAGGTCAATTTTGCGGCCTCTCCATTACCTATAAGTCAATGGGAGAAAATTGAAAAGCGTCTGTTTTGCACGAACGCCATTCTAGACACTCTCAAACATCCAGATGCAGGTAAAACTGATACACTGAATCGGAAAATGGCAACTGTGACCCCTCGTTATGTCCCCGAGGTCATCTCGGGTCACGAACAGAATCTAACAGTTTTTTCGCTAATAACTTTTGATAGAGGCATGCTAGAGCGATGAAAACGCCTTACATGTGTTCGGCTCGACGTTGCGGATCGACGTTGCGGACTGATATGCAACATGACCTTTTCCGGTCAGGTCATGACCTTGACCTGAGGTCAAATTTTCAAGTTGACCTTTCAAGGTAAAATTATAGTTCTTTCGACGCGTCTCGACGAGAGGTACACGATGCTGGCAAAAGTAATGTCATGGCTCTTTTGAGTCAAAAGTTGTTGCCGAAAAAAAACACTTTTCGTAAAAACGGCTATTTTTGGAGCCCTCTGGAGGCTAAACCGTTCGCTTGAGGTTAAATTTGAGGACATGTAGCGAAAGAACGTCAAGAGAGCTATCGGATGCGCTTTCCCGCAGCGCTGTAGCTCTATCGGTTCCCGAGATAGCCGTTGGCAGTTTCCAAAATGTTGAAATAGCCAACATTTTACCTTTGGTGACCTCTGGTGACCTGACCTTTGACCTGACCCAAAAAATGACAGATGTGTTTTCGTCCTTATTTTGGACGTTCTTTTGATTGCCGCTTACCGCGTGTCGCTACGTGGCCCAGGAGCCGAGTTAGAAGGAGGGGGTTCAGCCCCCCCCCCGGCCCGGCGCGGAAGTCTCGAAGCACCGGCCCGGCGCGGGTTAATGATGGCAATTTATGGATAACTACTCATATCAATGGAAAGAGCAGGGCAGAAACAAATTAAAGCATTTTACAGTTAGCTTCCAGTAGTACAAATCGGTTGAGAGAAGCCATAGGCGGATCGAGAAAGACAGTCTCGCGGACGCCGCAGGCGAAGCCTAAGACATTTTTCTCCAAATTCAAAAAAAAACTCCTCGGATTTTTAATCCACATCCCCATCCGAGCAGTTTAAATCAACATTTTCCCCATAAAAGAAGTTTTCTTTAGGAAATCCATCAGACTCTCATCGATTTTCAGCCTGCATTTGCCCCAAATGGCACCGGGCCAATGAAAAAAGTAAAGCTTTATCATACCCGAATTTCGCTTTCGTCGTACATGTTTGGTTCATTTCATGATTTGGTCGTTTTCTCAGCTACTTTTGTGCTGACATCTCTTCTTCATTGCCCTCAACAACTCGCAAGAAGTGTGATAAGTGTGATCGCCGCTGATGTAATACCGCGCTCTGCCCTTATAGATATCTCGTCCACATGTATAGTAGGGGAGAGTGGGGAAAGATGCCCAGGGTTTTGCTATGTCATATATTATTCGAAAATGACGATCGGAAAGCAAAAACTTTTCAAAACTCAAAGCAAAAACTTCAAGCAAAAACTTGAAGTTTCAAGGGAAGCCGACTTCATTTTTCTCCCAAAATATCACACTTTCGTGCCTGAAATATGATAACTTTTTTTGCTGTTAAGCATTTTCCCGAAGAAGTGAAAGGGGGCATCTTACCCCACAGGGTGGGAAAGACGCCCACTGGCGTTGGGGAAGATGCCCCCTGCACTATAAGTGACATAAATGGGCACGTGAATCGCCTGAACGAATCAGTGGTCCCTTCGAGCCTGCAGTAGACACAAAACGTCATCGTAAGGGCCCTCAAAAGTAGTCGTAAGGGGCTTCAGAGGTCATCGTTAGGGCCATCATAGTCTAACGCGGCCAAACAAGCCTCCGTGGTGGCGTTCGGAGACAACTGTGGGGCCCTTTTAGGTCTTCATGATGCTTGAGGGCCCTCGAGCCCATCGTGGGGACCTCAGATGCCAGCGCGGCCCGTGGAGCCAACGTGGGAGCCCTCAAAGGATGTCGTGAGGGGCCCTGGAGCCAATAATGGGGCCCACAGAGGCCGTCGTGAGGGCTCTCAGAGTCAGATGCCGCCCAAAAAGTCGCTGTGTGGGCCGAGAGACCGGTATGGGGAGCACCCGACCGTACTGGACTCTCAGTAGTCCCAGATCGGCTTTTGTCTATCATCACAAGTATGTAATAAATGATTTGACGGGCTGCTTGAAAGACAGCCTACGGATTTAGAGGGGCGTCTTTCCCCATCAGGACAGGGGGCATCTAACCCCAAGGTACAGAATTAACATTAAATCGGTATAATTTGTTAGCCATAAAACTACACCCTGAAACAAACTGTTTGGGACACAGTACACGCATGTTAATGTATCACGACCATAGCAAGGAACATAAAAATTATTTACATTCTTGATATTTACAATGTTTGGACACCAAAATATTTTTCGAAAGCAGCAAATAAAAAACATGCAATCACCAGCCAGCCGTTGCCAAACTGAGCTTCGCAAATTTTTGTGCAGTTAACAAGGCAGGCTTCCGCTTTACGCTAAGAACATTAATTTCCAGGTTCGATTCTTTGTTTCGCCGCTAGAGGGGGTGGGGCGTCTTTCCCACCCTGGGCATCTTACCCCACTCTCCCCTAGGTACTCTGGGCGGCCGGACCCGCGACCGACGCCGCCCGGCTCGGCCGCTGTCCGAGGCACAGACACAATTACCGGGGTTACATGAGCAAGTAAATGCGTATCAGGAACGGATTTTCCTATTCGCTCACCATTGTAGTCCGTTTGTATTGCGTATTAACTCTGCTCATGTAACCCCGAGCAGTGAGTCGTTAGGCGGCACGGGCGGACACCGATAGCAGCGCCTCTATCGGTCACTAGGGAAAGCTGGGCTGTAGGCGACGAAATACCGGCTGAGTTGTCACAAGTTAAATAGGTTTATAGACATCTGTCTTGTGAAAAAGTTGAACTTTTGCCTTCAATATTTCTACAGGCAATTTTAGAAGTGCCTTCACATAGATTACAAACCGTTTAAATTATTTTATTCACTTCAAGCCTTCCCTATTGTTCTTGATGATGCGGGAACTATTTCTTATTAGTGTTTCTAGCTTAGTAAAAGAACATATTATGCAAACGATGAAAAAAGCATAAATGGAATATTTTAAATGCAATTTTCTGTAACAAATAATGGTAAATTATCTACACATCAAGGAAAAGGTGCATGCTAACTGATAATTTAAAGTTCTTGGGGCCAGTTGGTTTCTTCTTTTCTTACGTCGCCCCAATGGCCGCGAACACACTTGTGATAACGCCATCGTACTTGCCTGATGTGGTAGGAGCGGAAGTGGCAGCAGCCGCCGATGTACCGGATGCCCTCCTCGTACGCCTCGCGAGCGAACAGGTTGGCTTCGAATCGCGTTATTGTTACCGGCTCACAGGCTGGAGACATAGTCACCGTGTCACGATCAGCCGGCAAATCAACAACGGCAACAGCAAACAACAACAACAACAACAACAACAACAACAACAACAACAACAACAACAACAACAAAGCACAAGGTAATCATATGCACCAACCCTCAGATGGTTACTCCTATAGCATGCAGCACATATGAACTGAGTTCAGGTATTGGTAGTTGTAAGCAGGTTCCGGTGTTGGAGCTGGTTGTGTTGGTTAGCCGCTGGCTGTCCGGCGGCCCTCACCGAGCGGCCAGTACGGCCGGCCGATCATGGTGCGCCCGTCGTCGGGCGTCCTCAGACCGATCGGCTGGCCGATCAGGAACGGCTGCAGGCCCTCCCGCTGCAGCGCTAGCCGCATGCGGTGCAGCGTTTGCAGACAGACGCGCGGACCCACGGCACAGTTGGTGCCCACTGCGGCAGTGGCCGGGGGGGGAGGGGGTGATCAGACACAGCCGGGGGGGGGGAGTGAGGGCGTCTCAAACTATGTATGCTCGTGTCTTATTTATTATTCTTCTCATTATCTTAAATTTCGAGCAGGTCTGATAACTGATAGGCATGTGAAATGAGCTTGTGCAGCGTCCCAATGCTTCGAACGTGTCTGTTTGGTGCCAAGACAAGATGGATCACGGTTAGAAAGATTTGGCGTTGCGGCATTTCGAAAATAGATATGGTCGCTACTTGATTATCCGAGGCATCAATGATTTAAGAATTTCAAACGACAGTTTACGATTCAATCTCAATAAAACTATTTCTTAATGCACATAAGGCATGTATTTAAAGCCATTTAGGTAAGGCATGTAAGGTGGCATTGGAATCTTAGAAACCAGGTGCCGTCTTATCTTGTCATGTCTTTGGAATTTTACCATGCTTTTATGTAGTAACAGCGGCATATCTGAATTCTGATCAATTGACAAACAAAAAGCACTGAATTTGCAGTACTTTTGGTGAGAAATGACTGATGAGCTAGTATTGTTTACCGAAACATCTCGACTCAGATTCAAGTGATAACTGAGCAGCGAATCAGTGTAATTTCTATGACAGACGTATATTTAAGGAATCGCATATAAGTATAACCAATGGTTATACTTATACCATAACCATATTTTTAACCATATTTTTGGCAATAGATTCCCCCAATGATAAGGCGCTTCGTCAATATTTGCTTTAGCATGTTCTGTTTCACCCGTAAGATTAAGAAAATCCAATAACCGATTGTGTCATAAATAAGGGCATGGGGCGTTGTAACTACCCGGGTCGTCTTGGACGGTCCTCCCCTAAAGGTATGTACTATGTACAGTCTGTCTTAAAAGTACCGCGCAAAGTGGCGGTGGATCCATCAAGCCTGACCGAGAAAGGTCTGCTTTAATTTGAAAGTCACCGAACCAATTGAGCTGGGGAATGGACGAGAATGTCCATTGCTTCGGTGACCCAAATTTAGCAGGCCCTTCCTCAGTCAGGCTCGATGGATCCACCGCCACTTTGCGCGGTACTTTTAAGACAGACTGTACATATGAATAAGTGCTCATTTCGCAGTCATAGGACGACACCATAACCAAATCGAGTGTTAAAGGGACAGTATCATGATTTTGATGAAATTTGATGTTGCAAAGGCCCCACCTTTCTGGTATAGGAACTGAAGGGTGAAGACCGATCCTCGAAGCTCCACACTGTTCTCGCCATCGCCGCTCAAAGTGCGAAATGTGTGCACTTTGAATTGCGCACCACTATTCTCACTGTTTAAATGTTTGCGACGTTTTGAATTGACCGCCAGTAATAAAATGTTTTTCCCAGGTCATTTCATCAAATTCTATAAAGTCAAAATGTTTTTCGCACTTTATCATCACCGGTACCACTACCTTTATTTAATAGTCATAGGCAGTTCCCGCTTTCCCTTAGGATTCTAGAAGCTCAACAAAGGAATTCCTCCCGATAGATAAGCTCGTGATTGTGATCTATTTTTCGAGTGCTATTTTATACTTGATTTTATATTTGTGTACAAGCTGCCGGTGATCATTTCTGTCCTCATTTCTGTTTAACACAGTGATCAAGGTATTTTCATACCGAAATCTTTGTGTGTCTAAACATACATTTGACTTGTGACTTGTGTAAATAATCAGACATGATTGAGTTTTATTCACGATCGATGGCAACACAAGTCAAATTCCTAAAACCAGACGTTTCGGCCACAGGGTGCCTTCGTCAGTGGACACTAGTGATTAAATTAAAAACACATAGTACACCGATTGTTTTTGATACTATGTGTTTTTAATTTAATCACTAGTGTCCACTGACGAAGGCACCCTGTGGCCGAAACGTCTGGTTTTAGGAATTTGACTTGTGTTGCCATCGATCGGGAATAAAACTCAATTTGACTTGTTATTGTTATCATTTATCCTAATTCCTCCAACTTGAATCACAATCTCCCTCCAATGTATGACGTTTGTCACGTTATTGTCACGTGCTGTTTTCTGCAATTGTCAATTGTTACCTCCAATTGTCACTCCCTCCAATTGCCACGTGATATTTTCATAGGAAATACCTAAGGCTGCCTCTCGCTGACGACAACTCAATCAGAAGAACGACCGCATACCTAAGCATAGCATCAATAATGTTTTATCTGCGCCAGTTCCGTAGTAATTTCGCAGGCTTCCAAACTGGCGGCCGTGCCGTGCTTTTATAGTGGTGGTTCGGTCATGAAAATGAATTATGATAATGAATTGTGGTTCGCAATACTTTTTAACCGAGTTCGGTCCTCAAACTGTGTTTTTCTTATTAAAAAAGGAGAAATGCTAGTAAAAAATTGCAGCTCCATACAATGACATTTGTCGATGATACTGTCCCTTAAAGTGTCTGGTCCCGACCGGTGATGGCGGCCTTACCGACGTCGGCTCCTGCGCGCGCCATGCGCAGGGCGCACTGCTCGGGCGACACGCCGCACCGGTCTCCGAGCGGACCGATGGTCATACAGGCGACCACCGGCAGGCCGGTCTCGCGGGCCGCTCCGATCGCCAGCTCCATCTCGCGAATGTCGAACAGCCACTGCGGGCAGGGCGCCGGGTCAGTGGCGCTGACCGCTCACTGTTCAGTGGCGGAGCGCCGGCCGCCGGGTCAGTGGCAGGGCGCCGGGTCAGTGGCGCTGACCGCTCACTGTTCAGTGGCGGGGCGCCGGCCGCCGGGTCAGTGGCGCTGACCGCTCACTGTTCAGTGGCGGGGCGCCGGCGGCCGGGTCAGTGGAGCTGACCGCGCAGGGCAACAACCATCGGCTGGGCGACACGTGTAGCCCATGCTTATTACCACAAGCAATACTGATTTATTCATCATAGCCGAACTGCATAGAAAGGACGTGGCTCTAGTGGCGCAGGAACTATCTCCTGTCGGGGGGGGGGACGGAGTTATTTGACATTTAGGAGGTACCCCGGAACTTCCAGCATCCTAGGTCTGACCCAGGGTTGTGCTTGACTCACGAGTCGAGTCAGAAATTTGACTCAACTCTGACTCAAATGAGTCAGATTTGAGTCGAGTCGGATAAAATGTTGAGCTGTTGAGTTGAGTCAGAGTTGAGTCGGACAAAAATATTAAGGTGTTGAGTTGAGTCAGAGTTGAGTCAGTAAAATAACTTTTGACATTGAGTTGAGTCAAAAACATTTGGGAACATGAGTCAGCTGACTCAACTTTCTAGAAACAATATATAGTATAAGTTTTTCATTCTCCCCCCGCTTAACAACTTAGGCCTGGCCCTGCTGCCGGATTTTTTTCACCCCCCCCCCCGCTCAACAACTTTTTTATCTGAGTCAATTTTGAGTCAACACACTTGACTCAACAAAAAAATTTGAGTGAAGTTTGAGTCAACTAATATTTTCATTGAACCGCTTGAGTCATGAGTCGAGTCAAGGGAAAAAATCAGCTCCTTGTTTGAGTCAGAGTTGAGTCAGGACATTCTGAAGTTGAATGATGAGTCGAGTCGGCAAATTTTTTTGAGTCGAGCACAACCCTGGTCTGACCCTATGTCGAATCCCTTAAATCCAGACAAATCACCGGTTTTATGTCGCTTCTTTTTCAACCGTCAAACAAAAGAAAAAATAATCAACGGCTTATTTCCGTGAAAGGAGATATCACAGTACCTACCCTCCTAGTTAATTAGGATTGAGGTTTCATCATTACAGAAAACACATGCCACTCTCATACGCTGGGAGTGGGATTGACCCGCGCATGACTGGGGGGGGGGGGGCTCTACTGAGCCCCCTCCGTTTTCCGTTTTTTGGTAATATCTTCTAAAATCTAGACCGCTTGACGAATCAACACGAAACTTTCAGCGCATGCAGAGACATCAATTTGACACCTTGTGTTCAAATTTAAACTCTTTAGCTACCATAGTCCGGCCAAAAATGACGGCAGAGTGACGGGAGGTCGACCGATTTTTATGCAAAATATTGAACTACGGCAATCGCTCTCAAGAGCTGTTTTTGAGCTAAGTCTAATTTCTTTGCATGAGTGGGCTTTAATTAAATGCGGCTATCAACATCTCATCTCGAATTTTCTCAATTTTGAGAATTTCGAAAAATATTCATATACCTACAATTCAAAAAAAAATCTTTATTTTTCTTTTTCTTTCTTTAAGGTAGTGTGCCAGCTTTCTTGGACCATATGGAGTTATGGACCCGGATAAGGAGAACCGGATTTTTAGACCTTATCCATGCCTTCAAAACTCATGGAAACGTCTTAAATTCTTCAAATTTTGAGTACCCCACTGCGAAATTCGCCCCGACGGGTTGTCGGTCGTACCCCAACCACATTTCACACCACTATCCAATCAAGTTTCGATAAACCCGTTCATCATCATCTCCTGCGGTTTCGAACACGCCTGTTAGGTGGCTTCTGATGCTCGTCGAGGTCGGAATTTCCAAATACGCGTGGTGCGTCGGGCCGCGCGCTCTGGCTTCGGCCAAGAAAAATGCGTCAGCTGATCATTGTCATTTCTGCCACTTGCGTGTGGTGAAATGGGGTCATAACTTGAGAGACGGCTGTTTCATATCAATTATTTTACATAAAATCATATTTCAAACCATAAATTAATGTTTGACAGCCAAAGTTAAGAAACAATACCAATATAGGCTTACAGTTTAAGTTCGACATTGTGTTGTCTACGATTAGACAGCTGATAACTCATTCCCGTACGTCGTAACTCTATAATGACCTTTGCTTATTGTCACATGTGCGCCGCATTCGCGATTGTTGCCGACGCCTGTTTGCAGGTCAGCCCACAACAGTTGTTATTTATAGGTATCGAAAAACCGATAAACTTTTAGGCAAAAAAGGCACTATTCCAGGCCCATTTTTGATTTTTTGCGATATTAGGTAAAAAACAGAAGCTTCTTATCCTAGGAAAAATAAAATGGGAAATCATTGGAAGGTGGCATACTACCTTTAGCCCTCGCCGGACCTATTGGTTTTCTACATACGCGCCGGCCGAGGGGGGGGGGGCGGGTACGACCCCCCCCCTCGCCGTTTCGCTGGTGGAGCTAGCGCGTCGCGGAAAAAACGAGCGTGTGCGCCGTTACGAGACGCAGAGATTGGTACCCGATTTTAAGGTCCTAGGTCAACCGGTGACCTCTGAGGTCAGGTCAAGTGCCCTAAGGTACGGTTCAGTTTTTGGCGAATAACTTCGCAAAAAATGGCCGCAGAGCGCCGATTTTGGCAGCATCGTGTTCGTCTTGCTCAGGCGCGTCGAATGATATACTTTTTGTCCGGGTCAGGTCAACTTGGGGTGTTGACCTCAGGTCAAGGTCAGGTCAGCACCCCCAGGTCACGAAGTTGGTCGAAAGAGGTCATGTCGCATATCATTCGATTCGGCAGGTCTTCCTGAGTCCATTGGTGGCTTTACCAACTCGCTAGCTCAATTTGATCAAGAGTTATTGACGAAAAACTAATATGACCTTGATGACGTCATAAATGACGTCACGCAAGGTCAACATTGTAAAAGTGACGCATCTAACCTTGCAAGGAGTGCATCAAATCACGATTCTGTGAGCTTGAGATAGTTGGAGATCGTTCCCGGCGCCAGAATAGCAATTTGAATTTTTCCCCATTGACTTATAATGGTGAGGTCACGAAAATGACCTGACCTCATATGACCTTTAGGAAAAATCCGAGATATACAAGTTGTGGGACTCATAATGGATACTAGATCCTGCAAGTTTCATTTCCCTGTGACATCTCCTCTGGCAGTGAGGGCGTTGCGAAGTTGCGACATCTGAAGACCGTGCAGAGGTTCACTTATGACGTCATAGGTCAGTGACCTGACCTGACCCAAAAATGCGGTTGGTGTCAAAAGATGCGGCTTGGATCAAAGGTCAGGTATGCCAAGTTTCAGCTCTCTATCGCCAGCGTGTTCGGAGCTATCGCGAAAAAACCCTATGGGGGGGGCGGCATCCGCCCCCCCCCCCTCGGCCGGCGAGGGTTAAAGAATGACTTTTCGAAAAACGGAATTTATGTAACAGAACACCCAACGATGACCTACTCTTGAAAGCTTTGGCTAAATATATTTAAAAAATGGCCAAGTCATACATAAGTGTCAAAATTTCCCAATTATACATTTTTCAAATAAATTTCCTAGTGCGTTTTTTGACATCCTATATACAGCAACATAAATAGCACCATCGTATTCCGGAGCACAAACTGCATCTGATTGATAGCTTTTTAGTTGTACAATTAAATTGTTAAAGTTTGACCTTTTTAACGAGAAAGTGACCTGACCTCACCTAAATTTAGCTGAAAGTGACCTCAAATGATACAGACGACACTGTTTTTCTAACTTTCGGAGTAAAATAGAACATAAAACATGTGTGACGTGACCGATGCATGATATAATTTTTTGTGACCTAACATGACCTTGCCTTGACCTAAAAATTTCAAAGTACAAGTTTGTCACCCTCAGGGTATCTACGGCATATATCAACGAGTGCGTAAACAAAAAGAATGAGCCTCATCCGAGCCGACGTGTTATCCGGCGGCCAGAGCCTAAATTGTGAATAAGCCAAAATGTTGATAATTTTTACTTACTTTGACCTGACCTGTGACGTCATCGGTAACCTCAAGGTCAATAAAATTAGGTTTCGCTCGACATTTTCTCCAAGCTATCAGCCGCCATTCAAATTTTAACAATCGGCCTAGTAGTTTCGCAGATAGGAGCAGAGGCGTAGCCAGGCTTTCCTCCAGGGCGGGGGGGGACTTACAGGGACCCAAGGTAGACCCCCTCTAAATTCAAACACTCATCAGATTTCATCCGCTACTTTTTGGAGGGGCCCAAATTAATAGAAAATATTTATTTAAAAATGGGAAAAATGTTAGAACTAGAACTGCCAGGGGACAAACAGTCTATGGGCCCCTGCTACTTGCTAGATAAGCCCACGAATAGCTTCATAGAGTCGCTCAACCGCCTCTGAAGGCGGTAGGTCGGATGAGAGCCCTTCAGACCGTCAAAGGTCCCTACAGCCCATGAGAGCCTCGTAAGCTGTCTGAGGATCATGTAAGCCGTCTAAGGGCCACTCAGACTGACAAAGGTCCCCCTTGCACTTGCAGAGGGCCCTGTCGGACCGACGCAGGGCCCTCTCAGACAAACTATGGCCCCGTTCAGTTCATTTGATTACGTGACAAAAGATCGTAAGACAAAAGATCGTATCGTAAAGATCGTACGAAAATGATCGTAAGATAAAGATCGTATGTTGTAAAAGATCGTACGGTAAAAAGATCGTAAGCAAAAGATCGTAAAGCAATTGATAGTATGCAAAAGGTCGTACGAAAATGATCGTAAGATAAAGATCGTATGTTGTAAAAGATCGTACGACAAAAAGATCGTAAGCAAAAGATCGTAAAGCAATTGATCGTATGAAAAAGATCGTAGGAAAATGATCGTAAGATAAATATCGTATGTCGCAAAAGATCGTACGACCAAGGATCGTAAGCAAAAGATGGTAAAGCAATGGATCGTACAAAAAAGATCGTAGGAAAATGATCGTAAGATAAAGATCGTATGTTGCAAAAGATCGTTCGACAAAAGATCGTAACGTTACGTTCGTAAAGTAAATAATCGTATAGAATAGTGTTGTTACGAGCGAGCGAGCGCAGCGAGCAAAGTGAGTCTTTTCAATATAACGGGAAAATCTCAGTATGAGCGGCCCGGCCCGGCCCGGCCCGGCCCTGCCTGTAACGCTTTTGAGAGGCTTATATCTCAGCAACCGCTGGACCGATTGGCCTGCGGTCTTTTTTGCTGGGTAGCCCCATCCCTTCTACCCCGTAACGTCATGTTCTGCCATTTTCGACCTCCAAAAATACCTGTTTTATGCAAAAATATCAACTTTAAAATTTGACCTAATTTGACCTCACGTTGACCTGAACTTCACCAGAACGTACCCTAAACTGGCCCCAAAGGCTGCCTGACCCATATAATCGCATTTGTCATGTAAAATGGACCATAAAACATGTATCACACCACACTTTCATATTGTGACCCCCAGTGACCTGACCTCTGTGACCTGACCTGGTAGCAGTAACCTCAGATAGCAAAGTATGTGTTTGACGAACAATTTACAATCGATGATTTTCAATAACTTAATAATTTACTCGATTTCACAACGCATTTCTTGAAATGCCTGTGAGCGGTGAAAATCCTACCTTTGACCTGATCTGTGACGTCATCCGTTGGACCGAGGTCAATGACATTTGGTCACAAGGTAGTTCTCCGGTGGGGCTATCGAACGCCGTTTGAATTTTCAAAATCAGCCGGTTAATTTCCGAGATCTTAGGGGGGGGGGCTGAAACGCTCCCCCCTACGGGTGGTAGGGTCCGCCGATAACCCTACGGGGCGCGGGTTAACCCGCGCCCCACTGGGGTCTGCGTATAACACGCCCTACTGGGGGGGGGGGGGGGGGCTATTCATAGCCCCCTTCCTAACTCCGAAACTACTGGGCCGATCGTCAAAATTCAAACGGCGTCTGATAGCCCCGGAAAAATTGTCGAGCGAAACCTAATTTCATTGACCTCGAGGTCACCGATGACGTCACAGATCAGGTCAAGGTAAAAATTATTAGCATTTTGACTTGTTCACGTTTTGGGCTCTGGTCGCCGTCTTACAAGTCAGACCAGGCTCATTTTTGGTTCACACACTCGTGAACAGATGCTCTAGATACCCTGAGGGTACCAAACTTGTACTTTGATTTTCAGGTCAAGGTCAGGTCATCACAGGTCACGAAAATATTATATCATGCGTCGGTCACGTGACACATGTTTTATGGTCCATTTAGGCCAAATATTTCGAATTTGATGTCGTTTTTGTCATTCGAGGTCATTTTGAGTCGAATTTAGCTTAGGTCAGGTCACTTTCAGGTCAAAAAAGGTCAAATTTTGAAGTTAAAATTTTTCAACAAAAAAGGTACCTATTGGATGTAGTTTGAGCTCAGGATCACGATGGTGCTATTTATATTGGCGTACGATGACAAATACGTGCTGAAAAATTGATTTGAAAAATTAATAATTGTGATTTTTTGCAATAATGCGTATAACTTGGCCATTTTTGAAGATATTTAGTTAAAACTTGCTAGAGTTGTTCATGATAAAGCGTTCTATCACATATATTCCGTTTTTTTTTCGATTAGTCAAAAACTTTTTGAAAAAATGTAAAAATATACATTTTGAATTTAATTATATTAAATTTTCGAAATTTTCAAACTTTCGAAAATCTGAGATAGCAGTTTGATAGCGCCAGTCTATTTTGAGTCCTCTCATGCAAAGAAATTGGATCTAGCTTAAAAACTGAGCTCTTGGGAGCGATTGCCATGATTCAATGTTTTGCTTCAAAATCGGCCGAACATGACGTCACTCTGACGTCATTTCCGGCCGACCTATGGTAGCTACGAAGTTCATATTTTATCACAAGGTGTCAAATTGATGCAGCCGAAGGTACTGAAAGTTTGGCGTCGATACGTCAAGCTGTTGGGAAGTTATTGCAGAAAAACGGGAGGGGGGGGGGGCTATAAATAGCCCCCCCGTGGGGCGCGGGAGGCAATACAACCCCCAACTTACCCAACTAAAAATGCAGGTGTTCAGATCCTTTGACAACGATTTCAGTCCTTATCCCGACCGGGCCCGCAGGTAATCCCAAGCATCGCAGCCCGGGGCGATGGATGGGTAGAGGGCGGGGGCGTTTTCGCCCCCCTATCTAATTCCGTAAATAAAGAAACTCAAGGTCTGAATGTATTAAACTGCATTTATCTGTATTGTTTGTAATGCTGGCGTGTTTTAAACCTCTTAAAAAATCAATGTGTTCCTCAAATATCATAAAAAGAGATGAGCTGCAGGTTTTGCGCACTGTTACCTCGCACATGATGAAGTCGACGCGCTCCTCGACGATCGGCTTCAGCTGCTGCCGGTAAGAGTCGACCACCTCCTGCCGGGAGCCTCCCTTCTCAAACACGGGTGTGGCCGTCAGCGAGGCGGTGAACAGGAGTCCCTTCTCCTCGGCCACCTCCCGACACAGCCTGGGACCACCCGACCCGTCAGAGGGTACAGACACAGCCTGGGACCACCCGACTCGTCAGAGGGTACAGACACAGCCTGGGACCACCCGACCCATCAGAGGGTACAGACACAGCCTGGGGAGACCCGTCAGAGGGTACAGACACAGCCTGGGACCACCCGACCCGTCAGAGGGTACACACACAGCCAGGGACCACCCGACCCGTCAGAGGGTACAGACACAGCCTGGCGAGACCCGTCAGAGGGTACAGACACAGCCTGGGGAGACCCGTCAGAGGGTACAGACACAGCCTGGGACCACCCGACCCGTCAGAGGGTACAGACACAGCCTGGGACCACCCGACCCGTCAGAGGGTACACACACAGCCAGGGACCACCCGACCCGTCAGAGGGTACAGACACAGCCTGGCGAGACCCGTCAGAGGGTACAGACACAGCCTGGGGAGACCCGTCAGAGGGTACAGACACAGCCTGGGGACCACCCGACCCGTCAGAGGGTACAGACACAGCCTGGGGAGACCCGTCAGAGGGTACACACACAGCCAGGGACCACCCGACCCGTCAGAGGGTACAGACACAGCCTGGCGAGACCCGTCAGAGGGTACAGACACAGCCTGGGACCACCCGACCCGTCAGAGGGTACAGACACAGCCTGGGGAGACCCGTCAGAGGGTACACACACAGCCAGGGACCACCCGACCCGTCAGAGGGTACAGACACAGCCTGGTGAGACCCGTCAGAGGGTACAGACACAGCCTGGGGAGACCTGTCAGAAGGTACAGACACAGCCTGGGGAGACCCGTCAGAGGGTACAGACACAGCCTGGGGAGACCCGTCAGAGGGTACAGACACAGCCTGGGACCACCCGACCCGTCAGAGGGTACACACACAGCCAGGGACCACCCGACCCGTCAGAGGGTACAGACACAGCCTGGGGAGACCCGTCAGAGGGTACACACACAGCCAGGGACCACCCGACCCGTCAGAGGGTACAGACACAGCCTGGGGAGACCCGTCAGAGGGTACAGACACAGCCTGGGGAGACCCGTCAGAGGGTACACACACAGCCAGGGACCACCCGACCCGTCAGAGGGTACAGACACAGCCTGGTGAGACCCGTCAGAGGGTACAGACACAGCCTGGGGAGACCTGTCAGAAGGTACAGACACAGCCTGGGGAGACCCGTCAGAGGGTACAGACACAGCCTGGGGAGACCCGTCAGAGGGTGCAGACACAGCCTGGGACCACCCGACCCGTCAGAGGGTACAGACACAGCCTGGGGAGACCCGTCAGAGGGTACAGACACAGCCTGGGACCACCCGACCCGTCAGAGGGTACACACACAGCCAGGGACCACCCGACCCATCAGAGGGTACAGACACAGCCTGGGGAGACCCGTCAGAGGGTACAGACACAGCCTGGGACCACCCGACCGGTCAGAGGGTACAGACAGACACAGCCTGGCGAGAGACCCGTCAGAGGGTACAGACACAGCCTGGGACCACCCGACCCGTCAGAGGGTACAGACACAGCCTGGGGAGACCCGTCAGAGGGTACAGACACAGCCTGGGACCACCCGACCCGTCAGAGGGTACAGACACAGCCTGGGACCACCCGACCCGTCAGAGGGTACAGACACAGCCTGGGGCCACCCGACCCGTCAGAGGGTACAGACACAGCCTGGGGAGTCCCGTCAGAGGGTACAGACACAGCCTGGGGCCACCCGACCCGTCAGAGGGTACAGACACAGCCTGGGGAGTCCCGTCAGAGGGTACAGACACAGCCTGCAGGGAGACCCGTCAGAGGGTACAGACACAGCCTGGGACCACCCGACCCGTCAGAGGGTACAGACACAGCCTGGGGCCACCCGACCCGTCAGAGGGTACAGACACAGCCTGGGGAGACCCGTCAGAGGGTACAGACACAGCCTGGGGAGACCCGTCAGAGGGTACAGACACAGCCTGGGGAGACCCGTCAGAGGGAACAGACACAGCCTGGGACCACCCGACCCGTCAGAGGGTACAGACACAGCCTGGGGAGACCCGTCAGAGGGTACAGACACAGCCTGGGACCACCCGACCCGTCAGAGGGTACAGACACAGCCTGGGGACCACCCGACCCGTCAGAGGGTACAGACACAGCCTGGGGAGTCCCGTCAGAGGGTACAGGCACAGCCTGGGACCACCCGACCCGTCAGAGGGTACAGACACAGCCTGGGGAGACCCGTCAGAGGGTACAGACACAGCCTGGGGAGACCCGACCCGTCAGAGGGTACAGACACAGCCTGGGGACCACCCGACCCGTCAGAGGGTACAGACACAGCCTGGGGAGTCCCGTCAGAGGGTACAGGCACAGCCTGGGACCACCCGACCCGTCAGAGGGTACAGACACAGCCTGGGGAGACCCGTCAGAGGGTACAGGCACAGCCTGGGGAGTCCTGTCAGAGTTGCAATGCACACAATGCACAGTGTTCTTACTGGGAGCCATGTGGCTAACATTTGTTACGGACAACTTTAGAATCAAAAAATAAAAATTCCGGCATTAATAGGATAAGTGTCACTTAGCAGCAAAGGGGCTCTATATATGAACTGGGCCCAGGGCACTTGTCGATTTGTCGTGTAACGCCCCCGATGAACTCGAGTGAATTGACATCCGAGCTGACCAAGAAATTGTCTGGCATACTTTCGTCATAATATTTGACGTTATTTCGAACGCTGTTGAGTGTTAACCCCGTGTCGTTACGTGGCCCAGGAGCCGAGTTAGACGGGGAAGGGGGTGCTCAAACACCGCCTCCCCGGCCCGGCAGGGTGGCGCCTCGGCGCCGGCTCGGCGCGGACTAGTAGTTGTAGTTGGAAAACTCACCGGCAGGCAGCTCTGTTCACCTCCTCGACCGACTGCTTGATGCCCAGCTCCTGCATCAGCGACTCGTTCGCGAAAAAGTTGAGCGCCTGAAGGACATCGGCGCCGGCCCGCGCATACTCGCGGTGCAGCTCTGTCACTGAAACACGGGTACCGAGTACCGTACCGTCACTGAAACACGGGTACCGAGTACCGTACCGTCACCGAAACACGGGTACCGAGTACCGTACCGTCACTGAAACACGGGTACCGAGTACCGTACCGTACCGTCACTGAAACACGGGGTGCCGAGTACCGCGTACCGTCACTGAAACACGGGTACCGAGTACCGTACCGTCACTGAAACACGGGGTGCCGAGTACCGTACCGTCACTGAGTTATAAAAGCACATCTATAGATAGGTGTAATCATATCCCCCTCTGACCCCGGCCGTCCCTCCCTGACCCCTGTGAGCTGGCCGGTCCGGTCGGGGGGCCGGTGCAGCTTCTCTCACCTGCCTGAGGGTGGGTGACGCACACCTCCGGGCTGTGACCTGGTCGGGGGGCCGGTGCAGCTCTCTCACCTGCCTGAGGGTGGGTGACGCACACCTCCGGGCTGTGACCTGGTCGGGGGGCCGGTGCAGCTCTCTCACCTGCCTGAGGGTGGGTGACGCACACCTCCGGGCTGTGACCTGGTCGGGGGGCCGGTGCAGCTCTCTCACCTGCCTGAGGGTGGGTGACGCACACCTCCGGGCTGTGACCTGGTCGGGGGGCCGGTGCAGCTCTCTCACCTGCCTGAGGGTGGGTGACGCACACCTCCGGGCTGTGACCTGGTCGGGGGGCCGGTGCAGCTCTCTCACCTGCCTGAGGGTGGGTGACGCAAACCTCCGGGCTGTGACCTGGTCGGGGGGCCGGTGCAGCTCTCTCACCTGCCTGAGGGTGGGTGACGCACACCTCCGGGCTGTGACCTGGTCGGGAGGCACGTGCAGCTCTCTCACCTGCCTGAGGGTGGGTGACGCACACCTCCGGGCTGTGACCTGGTCGGGGGGGGGGGGCAGGTGCAGCTCTCTCACCTGCCTGAGGGTGGGTGACGCACACCTCCGGCGTCCAGAAGCCCGTCTGCACGTAGCAGCGCTTCTCCATCTCGCAGATCATGCCGCCATCGCCGATAATAGTATCGCCGTCCCGTAGACGCTCCAGCAGGCCCTGGCGACACCGCCTCACCGTCACACTCACCGTCGCACTCACCGTCACCGTCACCGTTTCACCGTCACACTCACACTCACCGTCACCGTCACCGTCACACTCATCGTCACACTCACCGTCACCCACCGCCACACTCACCGTCACACCGTCACCGTCACACTCACCGTCACACTCACCGTCACACTCATCGTCACACTCACCGTCACACTCGTACCGTCACACCCACCGTCACCGTCACCGTCACCGTCACACTCATCGTCGCCGTCACACTCACCGTCACACTCACTCACCGTCACCGTCACACTCACCGTTACCGTCACCCACCGTCACCGTCACACTCATCGTCACCGTCACACTTTTTGTTAGCGTTAACTTTTACGCTGGAGTTACCTCAGCTGCCACGGGGTAGGCGGAAACGGGGTAGCCGGGCTTCCCCCGCGCCCGGGGTTACCCCGGCTTCGCCTAATATTCGTGCGCTTTCCAAACTTTTCTCCAAACATCCATTTTCGTGATCCTGACTCGGAAATGTGGTTCAACTTTTCAAAATTGGGGGCGATGAAGCTCACTCTATTCACGGAACTGCTGCAAGCCTGTTTGTTGAAAAAGTGTCATTTTTTCAACAATAAATTTTGAAATAGATTACAAATAACGTGGGGGGCAGGTTGTGTGCACGCATTCGTGCATATTTTTTGTTTTTGCGCTTTATGACTTAATCTGTAGTAGGTTTCACTTATGACGCTCGCCTGACTTAGTCTCGGCTGCTTGCGACGTCGTGACAAGTAATTCACGCGACCTTGGCGAGGTCACGGAGGCGGGCCGATGGTCGGCAGTTGGCACATTCTTGTTGGCCAGTCCATTCTTTCTATATTTGTTGTGCAATGCATTCTTGTCGAAAGGAATCAAGTGAAATGCCCCCCAGGCCAATTTCTTTTGGTACATTTCTGGTAATGCCCCGTAATTCCTCGAATTTCGCAGGGTGCACGAAAGTGCCCCACCCTTGCACGAATGTGCCCCATGCCTGGGGCAGGTTCGTGCAAACGTTCAGAGTTATTAAAAGTCATTTTCTCTAATACGAGTAGAAGCGATAATTTTAGAGGTAACCTTTAAAAAGGAAACATATCTGCAATAGTTCCTTTCCATACTACAATCAACAATTTTGTCATTGCACCAACCAAAGAACAGATATATGGAGCTATCTATTTTTTTGCACGAATGTGCCCCACTCTTCCCTAATGTACAGTAGGTCTATTAAAAAAGTCCCCAGCACCAGTGGGCGCTGCATTCGCTGAGCCGAACCCCCGTCTGCCTGTTCCATATCGCGCCGGGCTCAGGGTCAGGTAGGGTCAGCGGGACCGCTCGGTCCGGCCCGCGGGCGGTGGACGGGCGGCCGGTAACGCTTTCCGCCAGCCAGCTGTAGAATCCAACAAACGGGACGGCCACCGCTCAGCGCAGCGAAACCGGTGTTAAAGAATGGCAGTAGATGTTCATGGCCACAATGATTATGAGATAGTCATTGTTAGCCCGTGCCCCACAGGAATGCCTAGACTCTCACGCCCTGTTGGAGGGGAAATGGGGATTGAGCATCATTCTTTTAACTCAGCTTTGGGCATTTAAGTGGTATTCGAAGTAGCGTCAAAAGTAGCAAAAAGAAGAAGAAAAATACTTCAGCCAATTTTGGATCGGGTCATAGCCAGAGGTCATGTCACTAGAGGTCATCGATGGTAAAATTTTGCTTAGACAGGGTGCGTTGCGCGCACCGGTGCATTGGTTTTCCTATTTCCATGGAAACATCAACAGACTCGGAAGCTCGCAACGCTAGCGTGGAGCCGAATTCATATCAACCGCCGCAACAATGCAGCAGCGCAGCGCAGCGTGCTGCAGCACGGGGCCGTGAAACACCGCCCAGGGCTATCCATGCGTCAGGGCAATCCAACCCACGTGATGGGCTCGGCCCCAGCGGAGCATGAGGTCCAGGACTCCCGCCCAGGCCCCCTGTCTCCCCCTAATTCCTATCATCCTTCCCACTCTGAAATCGACCGAAAGAGCCTAACCTAACACAACAATCAGCTCGTTTACCGCTATGTCTGAATAATATTGTCAGATTTAATTAAGGTCAACGGCTTAGCATGTAAATAACAACAACTGCCAGTTGCCACCATCGGTAGGTATTATGAGAAAACCAATTGCTTTTCCACAAACACTAAAAAGTTTTTAGCTTAACCCTCGCCCGTATTGGTGTTTTTCCAGCCGCGAACGTATAAGGGGGGTCCGTTGGACCCCCCCCCCCTTGCCGTTTCGCCCCTGATCAAGCTAGAGCTTCGCGGAAAAAACGAGCGTGTTGCCCGTGACGAGAGGAAGCCGATGATACCCAATTTTAAGGTCCTAGGTCATCGGTTGACCTTCCAGGTCAGGTCAATGACCCAAAAGTTGGGAAAATCGGGACCTGTTAGAAAGTCGTAAAGCGTGGCTGCTATGGGGTTTTTCGGGGTGCTGATCACAAATATCATGTTAGTTTTGATCACAGATGATGCCTTCATGCATTTAGGCCAGGTCGGGTCAGGTCAGGTCAGGTCAACCAGTAAGGGTATCCGTAGTAGGTGGCAACCGCCTCTGACAGCTTCGTAACATGCTACGAAGGTGCTAAAACTACTTCGTAAATGTTCATATGGTTGCTAAATTCGAATTCAGCTCCAAAAACTGGCCTAGAAACATGTAAAACTCGAAAAAGTGAGCCGAGGTCATCAAAGGTCAATGACCTGACCTGACCTTCCGGTGACCTTGACACCCACCCTAATGCATGGGAGCAACATCATATCCCATGTTTGAACGCTTAAAACCACGAAAAGACTGCAAACGCACGGCTAATGCGAGCCGACATATGCCGAATCGCGATTCCGGCCAAACATGGTCTCGAAAAGTAGGTTACAGGTCAAAGGTCATTAGGGTCAGGGTCATGAAAATTTCAGGGTAGGTGTAAAATTGATTAACGCGAGGGTACTAAAAGTTTCGTCGCGATCGGCCGCTTTTTACGCGAGTTATTCGCGAAAAACCGAGGCGGGTCCGTTCGACCCCCCTCCCCTATACGGGCGAGGGTTAAAACTTGCATGAAATTAATTTTACCAGCCTCGTGTTCCTCTTATGAAAACGCTTCGAATGAATCAAAAGTTGATCTTTAAAGGTCATTTGAAAAATTTGGCCTATGTTCAAAGACATGACCTGACCAGAAATGGTCAAAATGCATAACAGGATATTATATCCGTATCGTGGAACTTTACAAACACTTCAGATGATTTCATAACTTAAACATGTCTATCAAAAATAATTATTACATGGCTCATATGTAAGCTGGATGCGTGAACATGCTTACGAGTATGTTGAACGCAACTGATACTGTTCTGTTGGCAGGGGCGGACAATTGTGCCGAGTTGGGGTAGCACGAGCCTTTCCAATTCCATGCCGGCTGCGCCGGCTTGGCTTTGGAGCCGCACCGTGCGGTGGAGGTCAAGGTCACCGCTAAGGCGGCGGCGGATTTGCTGCGCCCGTGCAACCCAATTCGGCATATTTCTCCACCCCTGCCCACAATTTCTATATTTAATTTATCCTCCCGGATTTCATATTTTTGTTAATGACACCTTGACGATGTCGAGAAAAAAACGCTTAGGAGATTTAACAGCTTGAGATACATTCAGTATAAGGAAGGTTCAAGGGTGCTAGATTCCTTCCGTCCTCGCTATCCTCAGGAAAAACCAATCCGCATCGCCCCTAGTCTTCATGCTTCCCTCTCTGGACTGGAGGTCACCCCACCAGCCAACTAGTAGTTGATGTCGGATCCATTCCAGGACACATAATCCTCTTCGGGTGACCGTTTGGGAGACGGCTGGACCGTCCCGACAGGGCAATCGTCCCACGGGAACAGTCTCGCTTCCGCAGATCACTGTCGCTGGCTCTCACAACCTAATTACATACTACACCAGAGCATAGTTATGTCATAGCTCTGCAAGGGCCTTTTCAGACCGAAAAAGATGGCCCCCAACAAAACAAACAATTTTCTCATTCAGTATTGTATCTCAGCACCACATGTTTTCAGAGTGTTTATTATGCGTTCTGTCCAAAAAAGCGCAGTTCAATTCAATTTTCTCCCATTGACTTTAGCGATCTCAAAATTGACCTGGCCTTTCTGTCAACATGTCAAACTTGCAAAGTAAACGTTTCAAATACATATACTGTTGCCCATTAAAATCGCTGAAAGTTCTGAAGCGATCGGTTAGTCGGTGTATTTAGATATGATGAGCATAGGCACTTTCCTTGAGGTAAGGTCACTTGACGTGACCTGGTGTTATGACCTTGAATTGAAAGACTTGGGCGGGGAAAATGGGTCATTTGAAATCTTAAAATGCTAGATTTTAACAATAATTGTGTAACGCAGATGCGCTACATTTTTTTCATCTTTCATGCTGAACTGCAAGCTGTGCCACAAGCTGAAACGCGACCATCTACGAGCGCCGCACAGACACGGTCAGCCGGCTAAATCGGCTGTGATACCCTCTCTCCGTCCCAGCTGGCGTCCACACAGACGGCGCAGTCGGCTCTGACAAACAGGGGTCCTCTATAGATGACCACCCCACTTCATGAGAACCCGGATCTGAAGCCAACAAATAGCATACCGAAACGCGCCACTCTGCCAGCCTCGAGCCATTAATCAGTTTAGCCTTTGGAAAACAAGACTCTGTCCCACGCTCGGCACCCCGCCAGAGAACAAGGAGAGGGGAGGGCAGACCGGCCCTGATTTGAACCAAAACAAGAAAGGGGAGCAGAGACCGACCCGGTTTGTACGAAAACAGGATGAAATGGAACTCGGTCGCCAACGACAAAATATAGGACATCTGGCCGGACCTGACTTCAAAACAAGGGGAGCAGAGGGCCAGGCCCGCCACCTGGCGCCTCAGGCGCCGTGAGCGCCGGCGGCGAATTCCACCCGATCGCTGCGTGAAAGGGTGCGA